CATTTACTCAACTCATTTATTCATATTCTCATATATTCATTTTAACGCATTTGTATGTGTGAAAGAAGAAATGTGCAATATCGGTAGTTGAGAATTTTTCACAATGGTGTTATTTCAATGTAATTTTTCTCTTCAGGCAAACCGGGAATAGTCAGCGGAGCCATTAAGAAGAACCAAACTTTGACGCTGCTTCTCACCTTGATTGCAATGTGGGTGAATGTCAACATTTTGGAATAAGCAAAAACGCTGACAAAAAGCCACAAAGCACGCTGTTGTTTGTTCCCCACCAAAATTTTTGAAGGTTTATATACTTGTTGCTTCCAACCTTCTCTATTTTTTCCCGAATACAAGCCTGTACATTCTTGCGCATTCCTCTTGGTTGCTGGTACATCCACTGTTTAATGATTATGTTGCGGGATCTAGGTAGTTCAGGTGTTTTGCTCTGCTCTTGGTCGATTGCACTCCAACTACGGGCTAACAGTCCTACAAACAGGCCAAAAACCATGTTTTTTTAGGTGTATATGTTCTCGGATTCTCGAAGTTGAACAAAGCCAAATGTGTCGGGTGATGTGGAAATGTTAACTTCCTTCGACAAAAGCCAAAAGGAGGCTTCAGACAGAAATTGACTCAGCACTCATGACGCAGGCCGGCTCGCGACCAAAGAAGCCTAAGGAGGGTTACAGTGTTGATGGAGGGGAGTTTTGTCCAAATAAAAGACTGAAAAATACAAGTCACAAGATGTGAATGGGAATATTAAGCGCTCAATGGTGGACATGCAATTTATGTGCATCATTTATTTACTTTGCTAATGTCAAGTCGTTGTAGCAAACCTTTCTGTCTTTTGAATTCTTTTGTAACTCAAATATTTATGAGAGTGAACCTTAACACTACTGACCACTCACTAAATACAACATATGTTTGAAACTGAATTGGCGAAAGTATTAATTTGGCAATTTCATATCCTCCATTAACAGCAATATGGAAGTGATCAGCATACCAAGTAAATGTTAGGGAAAGTGTCCAATTATCTATGACTCGAGAAAAGTGTTGGACATACTTCTGACCAAATTTTGCATAACTTCCACTTCAAATTTCTCCGAATTCCAAGCGCAAGGAGAGCCTAATTTATGGATTGCAGGGAAGGTATAATCATTTCCTTAGTCAGAAAATCTCGGATTTTCTTGATCAAGTTTATCCCAGACCGTTATCCCAGCACATGCCAAAATCCACATTCCAGTCGTGCATTTTGTTTGGATAATCTGCACTTCCGTCTTGAGAGATTGCATAAACTAGCCTGTCATCTGAAATATAAAGGGAGGAGGAAGCTTTCTAATGCCACTACTAATTCATTTCCAGTGTTCGCAAACTCATCTTCTTACCTGCAAACACTCAGCTCCAAGCATCGTGAGATTTTCGCTGCAAGCACATATTCTCGTTTTAATTTTGTGCAGCGTGATACGGCGTATTTGTTCACCGAGGTTGTCTAAAGGGTGCTGTTTTTTCTCAACAGATCCCAAAGTAATCAGGCGATGTGTCCAGAAATTGTTGGCCTGATTAAGTTTCATACCTGCTGATCAGGTGGAATTTTATCCGTTCGTCAAGCTTTGAAAGGGGCTTGTGAGCCCTTCGTCACCACACGTCAGTGCGCGGTTGAAAGAGTGATCCTTCCACGCGTGACTGCTTATATGGGTTGTAAGAAGTCATCAATATTTCTAACGTAACTGGGCGTCCACGGACTGGAACTGTAGTGCATTGTAGCCTAATTAACTTTTATCCTTTTTGGAGCTGTAGTTCACTGTTTTTTCCTTTATCACAAATGGCTGGTCTCAGCCAGCAGTTCTATCGCCCTACTGTTTGGCTGAAAACATATTTGGCGGAGCTTTCTTTCTTTCATCTTTTAACTGTTACTTTTGTTGTGTTATAGTCTGGCTGTCTGTTTTCTGAATAATCTAAAAAGATCACTTTCGTATGAAGCAGTTTCGCTATGCTCTTCCATTTTTTCTTCTGAGTAGCTGCTACATTTTGGGTTTGGTTGCCTGTTCCAGTGATGATTCCATTCGACACACTTCTGGCTATTTCAAAGCTTCACATTTGATCCCTTGAGCCTGAAGGCTCCGGAGTCCCCTGTTCTTGAAAGACTGATATATTTGGTTGGTTGTATTATTTTAAATGATGGTTTCCGTATTTGAGCACTACAGATACCTGAACCTATGTCTTCCCTTTGTTCTTCTTTGGGTTAGTATGTCCCTGCTGATCGTGTATGTGGGCCAGCGAAAACTTAGAGGTAGTGTGGCATTAATACACTCTGCTGGAAGCTGTTTCTACATTTTATCCACTGTAAGAGTCACTACCCTACTGGCAATGAATTTTGTGTATAATGCTTTCAGTTTTCCTGTTGGCTTCGGTAGGGTTTTCCAAAATGTGTTCGTTGGCATCTATATCGCGCTGCCGTAGCACTTCTGCGGTCACCTTGGAATATTCCTAAATTTAAGGGAACACAGTCAATTTCGCCTTCGTTGTTGATTTGTAGGAGTTACTTTCTTATCAAAGTTTTCTCGGATAAGCATTGCCTTGAAACACTGTATTGACTTTGGATTTTGTCAACAGCAAGCAAGTCTTAATCAGCTAGAGGGCCATCCGGATGCAGGATGATTTTAGTCGTCCGGTTGAAAGTCTCATAAATAACCGGGAAAGACACACCCCAGCTGCTCATTACAATTAACACTAATTTCTGTGTCCCGTTATCTAGAGTCGTGTAGCTGAACTGCATATGCATTCCTCAGCATAAAATGTTTAATTTACCTTGTTTGTGGGTGCACGCAGAATCAGTTTGTGGAGGTTGTGTATGCACAAACCGCCCAAGGATTTCAGGGGGTTTGAGGAGGAAAATCGCACCAAGACTTTTGCATCAGGGAAGTAAAATAGCGATTGTAAGTTTCAAGTTAAATCCCTTGGATTGAGGTCCTCTAAAAGTTATACAGCAACACATTCGGGGTCTACGGGTTATTTCAGAATTGTTGTTCATTCAGTTTGACCAACAGCACTCTCTTCGGCAAACGATGATTCGGCACACGCAACTCATGTCTTCAATGGAAGTACCCGTCACACAACCGAAAACGCGCTTTCTAGCTGCCTCGTTACGGATTCGCCGACACCAACCCACACGAGCTATGGTTCTGAGACAACGATTGTCAAACACCTGAAGACGTCTAAGGTCCTCTGCTCGAACAGGCCAAGTCTCACAGCCATACAACAAAACAGCCCGTACTATAGCTTGGTACACACGTCCTTTGAGATTCAGGGATACACCACTTTGACGCCATAGGTGTCTCAAATTAGCGAACGCGACCCGAGCATTGCATATTCGTGCATTGACCTCATCTATCACACTACAATCAGAACTAATACAACTTTCAAGACATGTTAAACGCTCCACAACATCCAGTACCTGTCCCTGGATTGTAAGTGTCGTGTTCAGTGACCACACATTCACGAGCATGACCTCACACTTTGTAGGTGCAAAGTGCATACCAAAACACGGGATGAACTTCGTCAGTTCATCCAAGAACACATGCTCCTTTTCCACCTCTTCAAACATGAGAACGATGTCGTCTACATATTCCAGATCGACAAGGTTTTCTTCACAGACTATTTGAACACCAGGGTTTTGGAGACCCTCCAGCGTTCTTCTCATTATTTCATCGATCACAAAGTTAAAAAGGAAGGGTGAGTGGGCATCCTTGACGGACACCGTTTTGTGTACGGAACCTTTTGGAGAGCTCTCCGTACACTCTCACACGTCCGGAAGTCTGAGAACACAAGGAACGTATGGTGCTTACAAACTTCCGGGGCATTCCTTGGTGAACAAGAGTTTCAAGCAGAGCAGACCGATCAACCGAGTCGAATGCGCCTCGGAAATCCGGGTCGCTTATACGTATGGCGTTGTCCTAGCACCTGACGAAGTGTGAAGGTTTGGTCGACGCAACCCATACCAGGCCGGAATCCAGCTTGCTGCTCTCGAGCCAGTGTCTCACGAGCCACCGTAATGGGACGAATCATCAGTGACGCCACCACCACCACCGGTGTCAAGCCCATCCCCCTGTGGTTACCACACTCACTACGCACCCCCTTTTTTGAAAACGGGCACTAACACTGACTCTCCCTAGTTTTGTGGGACAGACTCCTTTTCCCAAATGCAAGCAAACAGATCGGACAAGCGCTGACTGATGACTTTATCCCCTTGTTTGAACAGTGCGGGTGGGAGGTCATCCGGATCAGGAGCTCGGTTGCGCCTGAGAGAATATATGCAGTCGTGAACCTCCGAGGCCGTAGGTGGTTCCACGTTCACAATCCAGGGTTCTTCTTCACCTGTGGGCTCTAGATGAGTGCCGACCAGGGCAGTTGTTGCTCGAAGTACTCAGCCCACAGGTCGAGGCGTTTTTCTTTTTTTGAGATGGCCGTTCCATTCTGATGCCCAAAGGTTTCACTCACAGGTGGTTTCCGGAGGTGGTTTCCGGCCGGGCATTACCGGCTTTCTGGGTCTCTTCCATTCCTTTGGCTTTCTGTGTCCATTATACTTCACGGTCGGCTCGCACGCTCAGCTTCACTTGACGTCTGTTAACTCTTCGCAACGGGTTGTGTTCGGGACCGGCTGGGATATTTCTCCGAAAGTCAAACAGTGCCCCCGTTGCGTCTGATATCCAGTGCTTGACTGGATCGTGCCACAGGCAAACTTCTCAGCACTATGCAAACAGATAGCAATTTCGTCCCAGTATGAGTTCACATCTGATGGTGGGGCATGTGGAAGAGACTCCAGAAGACGGTTCTTGTAAGTTCATCTGACATCCGAGTCTGCCAGTCTTTCGGTTGCTAGGCGATTTGTCCGCACCTTATGCGGCCCTGAAAAACTAGGGAGAAGCAACTCCGGACGAGCGCGTTTTCAGAGTCCACAAATGTGTTTTGAACTGACCGGTAGTCAGTTACTGATCCGCTCCATCGGTAACTGATGGCAATGTTGCCTATTTGAGTTTGTTTCCGGTATGCCACTGGGGGACACCAGGTGGACAGACGACTTCCACTATTTCGGAAGTTAGTTCAGCATACAAACAGCCTACGATCAGCACACAGCTGAAGACATTGTTCCATATTGTGTGTACGTACCGAGTCCAATCCATGTCCACCTCCTAATTGAGTCTCAAACACACTAAGCCTGCCCACATGTGCATTCAGATCTCCAAAAACCACCATGATGTCTGAGCTTTTAGCTCACCGCAACAGGGCATTCAGGGCTTCATAAGACCTGTCTTTGACGGCTTCGGAACTACAGCCAGTTGGGACGTAGGCAGACACGATAAACAGACAGCTATCAAATTCCAGCTTGTGAGACTCCTTCACAAACGTTGCCAGGCGAACCGCACAGAGTAGACTATCAACAGGTATCCAATCAAGCAAGGCTACTTCTGCCCAATAAATTAAGGCGATACCAAACCACGCGCACCCAACCGCAGCAGCATCTGCATCACCAGACGTGCGTAGCTAGCAGCGAGTGGAGACTGATGGACAGGTAGTCCAACCATTGTGCTTGCACATTGAGTGCTTTTTTCTGAGACACAGCACACATCAATGCCGAACGAGTCCAGTGTGGGAGCAAGAGCGGCTTGTTTTCTTACTTGTTTCAGAGTGCGGTCGTCAAAGGTGGCTAAACATACTAGGTGTCGAGACTTGAGAATTGACTTGGAGATACCTGAGGATGTTGGCGCCATGTGACGAGCAGACTCTGCACGCAAAACTGATGCATGACCAACGGAGTCATCAGTCCTAAGTGCTGGGCCTAGAAGGAGGGAGTTAGTAATGGGGTGGGGAGAGGGGAAGGAAAAATTAAGTGAGAGAGAAAAAAGTGGGCGTCAGCAGGAGCCTGTTTTTGCTTACCCGGCCTGCTGTATACAAGAAGTAAGGCGACCAGGATAATGGCACCAAGCAACAGCCGGTGTGGCATGAGAGTATTGTGAGTCGTGAACGTCATGGTTGGTCGAGGGCTGGTATACTGCTAGTGGGCTAGAGGACGATGGGGGTCCTCAACCAAAGCCTCTGCCTCAAAAGCCTAACCGCAAAGCAGTTGTGTTTGGAGGGAAACGCAAATGCATTACCATTTCTACCGAACAAGTCGCCACGTATTCCAACCCCCAATCTGGAGGGCCGGGAGACTGTGTTCGCCAGACCTCTAACCATTGACCAACCAGGTACGAGAGACTCTGAGTGTCACGTGGACACTCCACAGTATAGCTCAATGGATCGCTGAGGTGCGCAAACCGTCACACTGTGGTAACATCAAGTCTCTTCTTGACGGAGACTGTTAATAACCCTTTGCCGGTTTGATACCATTGGCCAACCGATAAATGAAATTGATACCAAAAAGCGGAAGGATTCCGGCAAAAAAAACAATCCTCAGGTACGGTTATGATGAGCGGGAGGCGCGGTAGACATTGTTGATTTCTAAACCATATAGGTGCTTCTCAAAGCGCAATGTTTATACCCGCCACACGGTTCAACTGAATGTGAAGCTCGA